GACAGTGTGATCTTGAAGGATATTTCGAGGTTTAAGACGGGGAGGAATAAGATGCTGAGGAATTAATAATTAAAAGATTTAAAAATTCAAGTATTAATACATTAGAAGAAAATTCTTAGACCGGCAAATACAAGGTGGCTGGTGAACTCGAAGCCACCGCCTTTTACCATCCGGTTTCCTTATAATTCTTTAATAGCTTTCCATAAAGATTTAAATCTCCGTTGTTGATCTGCACAATAGGTTGAAAGATCCTCATGGCACCATCCACAGGATCAAGCGGTGGTATCCTGGTCTTTTCAAACAGTTTCTCTCTTTTACTTTCTGTCGCTCCCGTAGAAATCCAGCCGACATCTACTGCATTCATGAATATATTATCCTTGACAAAATCCGGTGCTGAGGTTTTGGTAAGCATATTGAGAGCCGCCTTTGTCATATTCGTGTGCGGATGAAATTCATTTTTACTCTTGTAGCTGAACTGTCCCTCGGTAGAGGTGACATTGATGATATGTCTTCTTTCTGTCTGACTTTTTTTCATCAGAGGTTTTAACGCCGAAATCAGCAGATAGGGTGAAATATGATTAATAAGATTCACTTCCAGAAGCTCTTCGGTCCCGATTTCATCCATCACAGAATTCCAGCTGTTTTTATCCCTGAGGTCTTTTGGCTGCCCGAATCTGTTGGCAGGAATTATATCAAAATTTTCATGAGATAATGTTAAAAGCTCACTAATATCGTTATTTATCGGTGTTTCATTACCTATTAAATTTCTGTTTTCAGAATAGGATAATAATAGAAGCTGTTCTTTGACCAGTAGAGGCTGATAATAATCAGAAGGATATTTAATGGTTTGAGCTGCATTATTCACCAGAATTTCAATACTTTCAAAGTTCTGATAACAGTATTCTGTAAATTCATGCACCGATCTGATGTTTCTGAGATCAAGACCATACAGAAAAAGCCGGTCTTTCCACTGTTCATAGTCTTTTTCTTTCCGAAACTGCTCAAATCCAAGAGCAGGAAACCTTGACGTGGCAATGACTTTCGAACCACTTCTCAAAAACTGTAAAGCCGAAGCATAGCCTATTTTCACTCTTCCGCCGGTAATGATAACTGTTTGTCCGTTGAGATCATGGGCAAGACTTCTGTTTTTATAATTCTCATCCGCGCAAGTTGGACAAAGTTTATGATAGAAAAAATGAATGTCGTGATAAGGCTGGTGACAGCAATAACAAAGCTGAGGTTTTTGAATGGTTGAAAATGATGTTTCCTCTTCTGTATGAGAATATAGAGTCCGGTTTTCTAAAGCCTGTTGTACGACAATCGACTTTTTAAGAATTTCAAGATCTGAATCCTCATCATTTTTAGACGAAGTGAGATACTCATCCAGATTCTTTTGGATATTCTTCCTGGCCTTTTTCCGGATAGATGAAATCAGTGTTTTGAAACGCTGGTTGTCTGGATTATTCAGAGGGTCAGCCTGAAGAGCTTCCAGAACTTTTAAGCAAGGTTCCCATTCTTCGGTACTGAATGGATATGGGTCCATAATACAATTTTGTGGGGGGAGAAGGGTTCGAACCTCCATTTTCACGTTATCAGTGTAGTGTTTTTCCAGTTAAACTATCCCCCTGCTCAGTGAACAAAAGTATTATTTTCATTGCTGAAAAACAATTTTTCCTATCTTTGCGCCATAAAATTATGACACTACAAAGAGCACATATCAATGTAAATCTATGCGATAGCCCTTCAATAAAAGGATTATTCGGATACGAATGGATGATATGGAATGAGGCGAAATGTGCTTGCTTTGAAAATTATTTACAATAAACCCGTAAGAATTTAAACAAAATACCACAGAAACGCCTCGATAACTCGAGGCGTTTCTTATGTTTTAGGCCATAAATTATTTAGAATGAAAAAAAATAACCATAAAAACAAAAAAATTATAATTAACAATGTCAATTTAATACGATAAATAAGAGTGATAAGTAACCCGATGAGAGACAGTCATTTAGGTATTTAAGAGATCCGCAGGATATTGCGGACGGTTATTCTTTATGCTAAAAATATCATTTAACTTATTGATTATCAAGTATTTAATTGAAAAATAAATTTGCAGATTAAAAAATTTCATACTTACTTTGCAACCGAAAATTGAAAGCAACAGGTTTTCAGGATTCAAAAACTTTTTAAATAACAAGAATATAATGAAACAATTACATAACATATCTAATCAGTATTCAAGATTACACGGACAGGATCCGAAAGGATATGCATGTATTCTGAATAGTGAATTTATACATAAAAGGTGCTTATATACGTAGGTCTCAGTGATCTGATACGTCAAAATATATACAGCACCTCCCGAAAAGAGGTGCTTTTTTTATGGTTTCTTTAGCTTATTTGGTAAAGCGTCGGTCTGTGGAACCGGAGAACAGGGTTCGATCCCCGGAGATACCCCAAATAAATGTAAATAGTCAATGTTGAATTGTGAATTTAAAATTGATAAGCAAAACAAATTGGCAATTGACAGTAAAAAACAATCTCATAGCTCAACAGGTTAGAGCACCGGTCTTTTAAACCGGGGGTTGAAGGTTCAATTCCTTCTGGGATTACAAAACAGTTCTGTAGCTCAATGGGATAGAGCATTGGTTTTCTAAACCGAAGGTTAGGGGTTCGATCCCTCTCAGAATTACAAAAAGGTCTATTGAGGTAAAGGCTAACCTGCCCGACTGTCTCTTGGGCACTGCGGGTTCGATTCCCGCATAGACCGCAAGGTTCACGGAAAATTTTAATCCCGGCTGTCTCCCGGTAAAGAAATTGGAAAGCGAACCTGAAAAACTGGAAAGATAACGGTGGTTGTTTACCCGTCTTGGACGCGGGAGGTCGCAAGTTCGAATCTTGCTTTCCAGACCATTTGCTCTATTCGTCTAACGGTTAGGACGCCTGCCTTTCGAGCAGAAAATAAGGGTTCGATTCCCTTATGGAGTACAAAAGTGAACAGTCAATTTTGCTTTGCAAGCGAATGATGAATTGTAAAAAAAAATGACAGCAAAGCGATGGGCAATTCACTAAATAAAAAAAAACGATTTCGTAGCTCAATTGGTTAGAGTGTCGGTCTGATACACCGAAGGTTGAAGGTTCAAGTCCTTCCGGAATTACAATAGATGGTAGAAGTTAGAAGTTAGAAGTTAGAAGTGATCGTACAACAGATAACTATAATCAAACATCATTAATCAATTATTGATTTTGTAGCTCAATGGCAGAGCGCCGGTCTGTTAAACCGGAAGTTGAAAGTTCGAGTCTTTCCAAAATCGCAGATAACTAAATGTTAATTGTTTCAAAAGAGAAGAAAAAAGGTGTGTCAAGAGCAGAAGATCTTTACGCCAAATATAAACAAATACCGACAGCCTTTTTCTTTTCAAATTAGAAATTAGAAGTGAGTGTAAATTCATTATTCACTTATCATTTAGAATCACATCTGATGGTTCGCCGAAGTGGAAGAGTCGGGGCGGTCTGCAAAACCGTTGCATAAGCTGAGTGGGTTTGAATCCCATAGCCATCTCAAATAACTAAAATGAGATTAGTTCCGGAGAAAAAGTAAAAGTTTGTCGAGCGCAGAAGTTCTTATATCAAACAAAAAATTAAGACAGGCTTTGTTTTTCTTCAAATAGAGGTTAGAAGTTAGAGATTAGAAATTAGAAGTGAGTGGTCGTTACAGGATTACCGATTAATTATCACTTATCATTTATAAAATTTAGTTAGTTCCGGAGAAAAAATAAAAGTTTGTCGAGCGCAGAAGTTCTTATATCAAACAAAAAATTAAGACAGGCTTTGTTTTTCTTCAAATAGAGGTTAGAAATTAGAGATTAGAAGTTAGAAATTAGAGGTGGCACAGAGTTGTAATCTCGGATCACGGATTACCTCAATCATCATTAGTTTCTTATTATTAATCATTAAATCGGAAGCACGCCGGAGTTGGAGAGCCGGGGCAGACTGTAAATCTGTTGCTTTATTGCTGAGTAGGTTCGAATCCTACTGCTTCCACAAAAACCACTGATAATGTAATGGCAGCATGCAGGAAAAGTACTCTTGTTGTTCAGGTTCGATTCCTGGTCAGTCGGTTTAAAAAGCTCCATTCGTCTAACGGTTAGGACGCCTGCCTTTCGAGCAGAAAACAAGGGTTCGATTCCCTTATGGAGTACAAATGTGAATGGTCAAAAAATCAATGATGAATACATAATACCATGAAAGTTCAGATTGAGAAATTAAAATTGATCCGATCATTCACAATAAAACAGGAAAGAGAAAGGTTTGTCCAGCGCAGAAGATCTTAAAAACACAAACTGGCAGGCATAGTTTTATATAAGGATAAGCCTTCTCCAACCTTTAATATTAAGTAATGAACAGTTGACATACAGATCCATTGTATTCGATTATAAATTACTTATGAAATGCAGCGGGAGTGGCGGAACTGGCAGACGCACTTGATTTAGGCTCAAGATATTGGGGGTTCGAATCCCTTTTCCCGTACACTTGCCTCTCTATTCCAATTGGCAGAGAAAACGGCTTTAAAGCCCGTAAAGTCCCAGTTCAAATCTGGGGAGAGGTACCAGGGATCAGTGGTGTAGAAGGTCTGCACATTTGTCTGAAAAGCAAAGGGGGAACCGTTCAATTCGGTTTTGATCCACAAAAAAAATGATTCATAGTGTAATCGGTCAGCACACAAGACTTTGACTCTTGTTGTTCAGGTTCAAGTCCTGATGAATCAACAAAAAATACTCTGATATTGTAATGGTAGCAGCTCAGTCTCCAAAATTGATGGTATCGGTTCGAGCCCGGTTCGGAGTGCAAAATAGAAATTAGAGGTTAGAAGCTGGAAATTAGAAACCAGACTGATCATAAAATCATTAATCAATTATCATTGATCAACTATAAATAAACATATGTAGAACTTAAAACAGGTAAAAAAAATGGAAACGCAACAAGAAGTATGGCAGAATATGAAAGGAAATTTTTTCCAGAAACCTATCACACAACTGGTAGAAGAAGCCATCATCCGCGAACAGGCTAACGGTCACCGCCTGAAAGTATGTGTGGGCTCAGATTCCCACGTGTATGGCGAAGCGATCAGTTATGCTACAGCAGTAGTATTTGTCCGCGAAGGAAAAGGAGCGTTTACCTTTATCAGAAAAGAAAGAGAAATACGGAAAATCAGTATCAAAGAAAGAATGCTGAACGAGGTCAACAGATCCGTAGAAATTGCTTATGCTATCTGTGCCGTTCTGGATACCTATGGTGTGGAAATGGAGGTACACGCAGACATTAATACCGACCCGGATTTCAAGTCAAACACAGCATTGAAAGATGCCATGGGATATATTCTGGGAATGGGCTATGTGTTTAAAGCAAAACCTTATGCATTCGCAAGTTCCAACTGTGCTGATATGATGGTTTAATGAATAAAAAATGTATTCACAGGCTTTCGGGCTTAAAAAAATAACAGGATGGAAATCACCAAAAGATTATTGTTTCTGGATGATATGAGATATCCGATTGAGGCGTATCATTATACTAAAAATGATATTTTCCTCAGAAAGGACTGGCATATTGTTCGCAATTATGAGCAGTTTGTCAACAGAATTATGGAAAAAGGACTTCCGGAAATGATTTCTTTTGATCATGACCTGGCAGATATACATTATCTGAAACCGGATTCTGACGAGTACAAGGAAAAAACAGGCTATGACTGTGCCAAATGGCTGATAGAATATTGTATGGATAACTTTTTGGACGTACCAAAATTCTATTGTCATTCAATGAATCCGGTAGGAAAGAAGAATATTCTAAGCCTTTTGGAAAACTATAAAAATCTGTAATAGATAGTAGGAATGAATTTGTTCAGTGGATAACAGAGCCTATTGATCCTGCGAAATTTATTAAATAGGATAAAAAAAATGCAATGCGCAAAAAGATTGCGTTATTACTTTTTTACTTTGCATGATCATAATATCAAGATTACTGTAAAGAAAAATGTTCGAAGCTTAAAAAATAAAAAACTGTAATGGATATTTTTAGATTAATTCACGATATAAAAATGCATTTGAAACTCAGCTTTGATGAGGTGGACAGGTGGTTTGAAAAAGATAAAGAAATATTGAACCATCAGCCTGCAAACGGAGGGTGGACTGTTCAACAGGTTTTAGAGCATATTTATCTTACCAACTTTTATTTGCTCATTCTTATCGAAAAAGGCTCGAAAAAGGCAATGCGGAATTATCTGAATCTTGATCTGAACTCAGAAATAAAAAACTACAGTTTCGATAAAGAAAAATTTGAAGAAGTAGAAGAGTATGGTGCTTTTGAATGGATAAGACCGGAACATATGGAGCCGAAAGGGGAATTGAATTCAATTGAAATCAGAAATTTAATTATCCTGCAGTATCATCAGTGTTTAGAATACCTGGAATTGATGAAAAATGGGGAAGGTCTCCTCTGTAAGACGACAATGACAGTGAATGAACTGGGTAAAATCAATGTGTATGAATACATTTATTTCCTTTCACTACATAGCCGGCGGCACCTTACTCAGATGAAGAATAATGAATCAGAAACTATTAAAAACTAAAAAAAAATGATTTTCAAAACATATAACTCTATAGAAAATGCTTACCAGGCCCGCGTGATCGATCAGATCAGGTTGCAGGGTTTTGGGGATGAGGTTTTCATCGTGCAGGAAAAGGTTCACGGGGCTAATTTCTCTTTCTTTACCGACGGGAAGGAAATTAAAATCGGGAAGAGAACTGCTTTCATTGAAAAAGATGAAAAATTTTACAACGCCCACCATATTTTGGAACGTTACAAAAAAAATGTAATTGCTTTATTTGAAAAAGTGAAAACCATTCACCCGGAATTGCAAACCGTAGTCATTTACGGTGAGTTGTTCGGTGGCGGTTACAAACACAAAGAAGTAACTGCTGTAAACGATGCTGTAAAAGTACAGAGTGGCATTCAGTATGCTCCTCACAACGAATTTTATGGCTTCGACATCAAGTTGAACGGAACTACTTATTTGGATACAGATACGGTGAATCAGATTTTTGAGGAAACCGGATTTTTTTATGCTAAGATTTTATTCCAGGGCAGTTTGGAAGAAGCTTTGAAGTTTCCCAATGTATTTGATTCTAAAATTCCGGGTTGGTTAGGTCTTCCTGAAATTGAAAACAATATGTGTGAGGGAATCATTGTCAAGACGTTGAAAACCAGATATTTTGGAAACGGAGCAAGAGTAATTCTTAAGAATAAGAATGAAAAATGGGTTGAAAAATCTAAAATGGTTAAAAAAGAACATAAACAGGTTCAGAAACCGGCAGATTTTTCAGAAAATGCTCAGAATATCTGGGAGGAAATCCAAAGATATGCTACGGTCAACAGGTTGCATAATGTGGTGAGCAAAGTTGGAGAATTTGAACCTAAAATGATAGGCAGAATTATAGGTCTTTTTGCCCAGGATATTTTGGAGGACTTCGGAAAGGATTTTCCGGATGCTTTTAGTACCGTGGAAAAAGACGAACAGAAAAGAATCAATAAAAAGTTGAATACTTTAGTTATTGATTTTATAAAAGAAGAGTTCATGACTCTTAAAGTTTAGTTTCGGTACATTTTACCGAAACTTTTTTACGTTTAAAAACTAATAAAATGATACAGGCAGAGATAAAAAGTCTTTTGAGAGAAGACATCAGTATATTAATAAAAACAGCCAATTCAGGAAAGCACTATTTGTGTGACTGTGGTGAAGCAAGTTTGCTTACGGTGAAAGAAGCACAGGCTGTTTCCGCACTGTTCATCAGTCATACCCATATAGACCACTTTTCAAATTTCGATGGAATTTTCAGACATCAGATTGGAAGCGGAGAAAAAGTATTGATTGCCGGACCGAAAAATATTCATCATCAGGTTGAGGCACGGCTGAAATCTTACACCTGGAACCTCATTAATGAAAAGGCTATTGAGTATGAGATCAGGGAAATTGTGTCTCCTGAAGAAATTAACGTTTATGTCATTCGCCCGCCCCACTGGAATCTGGAACTGGTGAAAACTCAAAGTTTTCTTTTTGAAGATGAACAGATCAAAGTAGATTTTGCCATTCTTGATCATAAAACAGATTCCATTGCTTACCTGTTTCAGGAAAAAATAGAAAAACTCTGGAATGGGGTGGAAACCATACAGTTTGAAGAATTCTTCGAATCCACGGACAGAAATCTGCGTCTCTTCTGTTTTAATTATATTGGAGTAGGAAATCTGATGAATCGTCTGGAAGCAGAAAAGATCAATGAAGAAGAAGTGGAACTGAATTACAATGAATACGATCAAAACGGAAATAAAACCCAGATCAGGAGAATCAACCATTATGAAGTGTATAAAATTGAAAATAAAAAATTAGGAATTTACACATGGCGTGAAACAGATCAGTATTCCTACGCAGTAAAATGCTGGTGCCCTTCCACAGAAAAAGAACACTGGCTTTGGATAGAGCAGGAGTATAAAGGAAATGCACTCACTGCCGTCGCATCTACGTTCAGAATACATGAAAACATTATTCCATATATCAAATGTCTGAAAAGACAGGGCGATCTTCTGATTTGTGAATTGGAAAGGGAAGTTACACCACGAGGTTTCCCCAGAGCACTCACCGCATCAGAATATTTCAGCTTGCTGGAAGTGGAAGCATAAATAAAGAAACAGTAGTTTAACTGGAAAAACATTCCCTTCACCGGAAGGTTGCAGGTTCGGGCCCTGTCTGTTTCTATTTTAAAAAATAAAACAATGAAAAACAGAGTAAACTCTTAAATTTCAAATAAACGGAGGCAATAGTTTAATGGAAAAACGCACATTGCCAATGTGATACGCGGGTTCGAATCCTGCTTGCCTCCCTTTTTTAACAAATAAAAACAAATGAATACATACATTGATATTGGCATAAACCTGACCAATAAACAGTTCTATAATGAACACGAAGAAATGATTAACCGCGCCCTGGATAATGGCGTAGAACAAATGATCCTCACCGGAACAAGCGTACGCGGAAGTAAAGAATCCGCTGATATTGCAGAAGAATATCCCGATATTCTATTTTCTACAGCAGGAATTCACCCGCATGACGCGAAATCTTTTAATACGGAAAGTATCAGGGAACTTCGGAATCTTTTAAAATCAGATCATGTGATTTCTGTAGGAGAATGCGGATTGGATTTTGACCGGGACTTTTCTCCCAGACCTATGCAGGAAAAATGCTACAGAGCCCAGCTCGAACTTGCCGCTGAGGTTAATAAGCCCCTTTTCCTTCATGAAAGATCGGCTTTTAAAAGGTTCAATGAAATTACAGACGAATATCTTTCAGGATTGCCGGAGGCAGTAGTTCATTGTTTTACAGGAACACTGGCTGAAGCGAAAATCTATCTTGATAAAGGTTTTTATTTAGGATTTACCGGAGCTATCAGTGATGAGAAAAGGTTTAAACAGCTGGAAGATGTCATAAAATACACTCCTCTGGACCGGATGATGATAGAAACAGATGCCCCGTTTATGCTTCCGAAGAATATGCCGAGAATGCAAAACCGCCGCAACGAACCTTCTTTCCTTCCTTATGTGGCACAGACTGTTGCCCACTTGAAAAAAATCAGCATTTCTGAAGTCGCAGATGAAACCACCGAAACTGCACGAAATTTTTTCAAACTATAAAAAAGAGCTCTACTGATGAAGTAAAGCTCTTTTTTTATGGTGAAATTGCCAAGCTGCAACTTAGCTTTTTTTCTTCTAAAGACTTTTCAACGCCGATTCCAAAGCCAGTTCCATCATTGGTTTAAGGGCTTTTTCTCTTTCGTCAGCAGAAATTTTTTCGTGGGTAGGAATAATATCAGTTACCGTAAGGATCGTCGCTGCATTTTTTCCTAAATGCAGGGCATTAGCGAATAATCCAAAAGCTTCCATTTCTACAGCCGGACAGTTATATTTAGTGGCAATAGCAGGAATATTCTGGTCTTTTCTATAGAAAATATCACTGCTGTGTACATTGATAGATTTGGTCGCTAAAGAAAGTTCCTGAGCTGTTTCATTGATCGTTCCAAAGATATTTCCCTGGTGAGGAAGAATATCATTTTCAATTTCCCATGCATATTTTGCATACGTACTTTCGCTGGCTGCATTTTCAATATTTAAAATATCAAAAAGCTTAAGATCTGTCGTATAAGCTCCGCATGTTCCGATTCTGATGATCGTATCTACTTCATACTCTGTAAATAATTCAAAAGAATAGATCCCGATGCTCGGAAAGCCCATTCCGCTGGCTCCTACAGTGATCTCTTTACCTTTGTAAAGACCTGTATAATAAAAGATTCCTCTTGTTTTGCTTACCAGTTTAGCATTTTCCAAATAATTTTCAGCAATATATTGTGCACGAAGCGGATCCCCCGGCTGCAATACTACTTTAGCAATTTCTCCTTTTTTTGCACTGATGTGAATACTCATAATGTTATTTTGAAGGGACAAAGATAGCAACTTTTAGATTGAAATATCTAAATATTTGTCCCTCAATAGACTAACTTTTCTCAGCACAGATTCCCCTCCGCCGGAGGGGTGGCAGATCAAAGATCTGACGGGGTGGTCAAAAAAGAAATTATAATCATGCAGTCAATTCACGATAAACTAAAAGGATGCATAACAGGTCGCTTTACCATTAATTGAACCAACATATTTGTGAATTATTTATCCCAAATATTATTTAACTGTCAATCGTTTATATAAAAATTGTATTCTCTGCGAAATAGTTTTATTTTTGTTAGATGACGGAAAACAGATCCCCATTTCTAGACACGATCTTTCTGCTGCGAAACAGCGGATCCATGACGGTGTTTTCAAATCTTCAGGAGATTTCTAAAAAAGAAGAGCAGGAAGCAGGAGATTATTTCGAAACGGAATTCGAAAAAGAAAGGCTGGAATTTTTATCTGCCGACATCAAATGCAGTAAAGAAGCAGCTGTCTGGGGAGCAAAAGTTCTGTACCACAGTGCCCAGCTTTATCTTATCCGCGAAAATACAGCCAAGGATCTGGATAAGCTGATCCCGAAACTGAAAGGACCATCTGATGTTTCCACCATCTTATCTGCAGATTTATCCCTGAGTTTTCTGCCACAGATTACCTCTGTTTTACAGACTGCAGATCCTTATGATCCCTTAGTGAAAACTCTGGAAGATATTCTCACACAGTTTCATTATTCAGGAATAGGATATCCTCTTAATCTGGAGAAAGTCGACTGGGAAAAGGAACTTCAGGACAAAACGTACCGGAAATTATATCTGGAAAGAATCGTTGAAAAGAAAGCCTATACGCTGGCAGAAATTCCCTATATTAATAAATTGCTGATAGCAGATTTTGGACTTCATAAAGATCGTTACTGGCAGGATTTGAAAACAGTTGCTCATGGAGATTAATACTGCAGTCGTATTAGGAGGAATCGTTGCTTCCTACTTTTTTGTTTTCTGTATTTTGGCATATTATGCCAATACTTTGATGTTTAAAACGAAAGTGAATGAGATTTGGATGTTCATGTCCTTTTCAAAACCCTTGTATGCCTATACCATAAAAAATGATCTCAGAATTAAGTTTGGCTATATTCCCCTTTCCAGCCTTGTGAAAACAGATTCAGGAGGGGATGTGGGGCTTAATGATGATGAAATGAAGAAATATGATAGGCGGACTATGAAAAATGCCTTTATTTTTCATGGAATGATGGGAACGATGCTCACCGTTTTAATTGTTGCCGTCAGTTGGATTTCAGGATATGATCCCCTTGTGATTTTTAAAGATTTCGGAACCCATATCTGGCAGCTGTTTTCGGGAAAGAATGACTTTTCTGGGTTTGTTAATTTTATTCACAGCCAATACAACGCTTACGGGAAGCATTTTTTTATTTTTTTAAGTGTGGGAATATATTTTATTTTTATCTCACTGGTTATGATGATTTCCTCACTGTATTCCTTCCTTTCAGCGCTTATGGGCCTTGTGATAATAGTTGGATACTTTGTTGTAGGCTTTAAATTTCTGGAACTTCCATTTACTTTTTATATTGATCTTATTCTTTCACTGGTTGTAATTGGATTTATATACTTTTTACTGTTAAGATTTTTCATTAAATAAATACTAATGACTCAAAATATCACAAAACTCAATACTGTTCTCAACTACGTAAAAGATACTTTCGTAGGGAAAAACGATGTCGTCGATCTGCTGGGAATATGCCTTCTGGCTAAAGAAAATGCCTTTTTGTACGGACCTCCGGGAACCGCAAAATCAGCTATTGTAAGAACGCTTTCAAAAACAGTGAAAGACGGCAAAAATTTTGAATATCTGCTGACCCGTTTCACAGAACCCAATGAGATTTTCGGACCGTTCGATATTAGAAAATTAAAAGAAGGTGAACTTCTGACCAATACAGACGGGATGATGCCGGAAGCATCACTTGTTTTTCTGGACGAGATTTTCAATGCGAATTCAGCCATTCTGAATTCACTGCTGACGGCACTTAATGAGAAAATCTTTAAAAGAGGAAAAGAAACAAAACATTTACCGGCTCTGATGTTTGTAGGAGCAAGTAATGTTCTTCCTGAAGATGAATCTCTGAATGCATTATTTGACCGTTTTCTGGTGAGAATTAATGTGGATTACGTAAATCCTGAACTGCTTCAGCAGGTACTTATTGCCGGAAGAAAACTCGAGAATGAAACTGAAACAGATATTCCCGAAATCCTTGCTGACGAAATAAGAGAACTTCAGAACCTGTGTAAAGCAGTAGATCTTAGACCTATTTATGAAGTCTATTTAAATACCATCATCAGCTTACGAAATACAGGAATTGCTATTTCTGACCGTAGAGCGGTAAAACTTCAGAATCTGATCGCAGCCAGCGCTTTGATCTGCGGTAGAAATGAAGCGGTTCTTTCCGACCTTTGGGTATTGAAACATATCTGGGACACTGAAGAACAGATCGAAATTCTGGAAGGGATTATCAACAGAACCATTGAAAAAGACGATAACCCGAAGTCCCATCCACAGGCGATGCAGAACAAAACTCCCAATCCGGAGGAAGTTATGAAAGATGTAAAAATCCTTATTGAAAAATGGAACAGCGGAATGCTGAGTTTTGAGGAACAGAATGTGATCAAAGATAAATTAAGATACCTGCAAACCCGTTGCGACTGGATTAGAAACCCGGAACAAAAGCAGTATATCCAGCAAGAAATTGAAAGTCTATGGCAGAAGATCCTTCAAACTGTATAAAAGAATTCTGGGCAGAACTTCCCCGGGCCGATGAAGATTTTCTGGGGGTTGTCAGGGACTGGAAAAATGTACAGATTGCAATAGACGACGAGACGGTTTGGCTGAAAGGCTTCACCGAAGAGCAGGCTGTCTCCGCAGAGATCCAGCAGCTTCCTAATTTTATGCTGTACGAATTGCGTGAAGGACTTCTATTCAGAAAAGAAGCACTGGTACCGAGCAAAAAAATGAGAACAGCTTTGCTTTGGTCGCCGATAGATAAAGCATTACGTCTTACTTTTCCTGCTTCCAACAATAATTATTTTGGGATCACCGAAAAAGTGGAAGTCAGATTAAAACAGGGAGATGAAGAACATCCTGCTGTAGCATTATTAAGCTCAATAACAGAAATTAAAGACAGTATTCCTGCCCATCCGAATTTCAAACTGGATAAGATAGAATGGACCGTGATAGGTGACAAAGCATTGTTTCTGGGAACACCGCTGCTGAGTCTGCCCGGAAAAACATACTGGACCAGAGACGGTCACCTTTTGCCCGCAGGGTTTGATTTTGAATTTAAAAATTTGAGTTCCCTTTTGCAGCAGCAATATAATAAAGACCTCGAAAAATGGATGTTATGGAATGAAGACGGAACATATCTTTCCATTAAGAAAGAAGATTTCCGAAAAATGTCTGTAAGCTCATTCCGTCTTACTGAAAAAACAAAAGAATGGATTTAAACGAATATTTCCAGTCATACGAAAACTACTTTTGGGAGTGGGAAACCGACGAGGATATCGCCGGGGATTCCGGCTACCATGACAACAACCTGATCTCTATACCTGGGGTTGGGGCAATAGCTTACAGACCTTATGTGATGGAGATTCTGAAAGAACTTCAGCCGCAGGGATGGCCTCCGTTTGGTGCATTACTGATGGTGTTGTATGCAATGCAGGAAGGATATACCGATTTTGTAACCCCTCTGAAGCATACAGCCGGTTTTCACAGTATTGGAAATTTTGATTTTACGGCAGACAGGAGTATTGAATTTCTCGAAAAACTGAAATCACTC